GGGCACTTCAGAGGATCCCTACCCTGTTGGCTTCCTACCCGTGTAGCACCTGACATGTACACTTTACAGCAGTAACTGTAGCAGTAACCCTGATCTTGCCATCATTTTAGCTTCAACTTCACTGCCACTCACACACAGATGTTTGGGGTGCAGGGCTGGAGCTGCTTTGAATCCAGGTGCCAGGTGACATCTCAGGCATCACTGAAATTCAGATATGAAGCCAGGTATTTCCAGGGATGAAGTCCCAGAAGTCCTCCCACAGCTGCTCCCCACCATTGCTCTCACAAGCCAAAAAGACCTCTCACAGCTGACAAAGTTGCCTGGGAGAAGGAGCCATGGAATATGTCCCCAGACATGGCAAGTCACTGCCTTTAGGAGCGGGTTAGAGAGGGACACTTGAACCACATGTAGGGTTGCTAGATTACCACACACGTTAGCAGGGCATGCAGAACGCAGGAGGCTTAGGTGCAAGGAGGGCGACATGCCACCGACAAAAACAACTGCAGAGCCTAGTGCTGCATGCAGCCTGGTGAGTGCATTGTTCTTAGACACATAAAACATCACTCTAAGTGATATATGCATACATCAACAAATCCCACCTGGCCTTTATGTAGCAATTAGCATCTGGCAGTTTACTGTGAGCATAGGTGAATAATGGCTTAGGGTCATATGCTTCAGGGCAAGGTTAAAAGGTGCCTCCTGGATGGTGTAAGTGGATTAATATGACTGGACACGATGCTGGCTTCTCCTTTCACTTCTGCCAATGTAAATCAAGAGTAACTGCGCTGCAGTCAATACATGTATTAAATTCATTGGTACACAGGAGCTGAAAGGCACACGATTTTGAAAGAAAGAACATCTCTATTACAAGCTAGAGAACAGCAACAATGAAAAATGTGGCGGCTTGGCACAGTTTCTTGTGGTGCTTCATTATGGCACTGCACTGTCCACATGAGATCTACCCAGAAACAGAGGCTCTCCCAAACCCATCCGTGTGGAGAGCTCCCAGGGTCCTTCTTACTACTACAGCTACAGGGAAACCACCTGTTGTGCTGGCCGCACGCCGGTGGGGAGAGGGCCTCTTTCTGCCTGCATGACCTCGCTGCAGGGAAATGCAGACTCCCATGGAGATGGGAAGGGGACTCGGGCAACGCAGCATTGACGATAAACTCAGTGGTTCGAGCCTTGGCGCCTAAAACTGGAGTTATTCCACTGGTGTCAATGGAGCTATTGAATGTCATTATGAATAGGAACATAACTTATCAGGCTGGCTCCTGGTGAGCACCCCGTGAAGAGTGGTAGGCCAGTCCATGTTCACGGCAGCACAGCCGTGAACAAACAGCTCCTGAGCTGGGCACGAGCACCCTGGAGAGGAGAGAGGTTTTCCTGTCTCCAAAATTCACCATGTCAAGGGCTTTCCGCGGTGGAGCTAATATCTCCTTAACTGCCTTTGTGCCTGCCCTGGGGCTGGGCAGTAATCTTGCAGATTGCCCAAACTACATACTAACTGACTGTACCAAAAGCAGCCCCCAACCCTCGAACCTACACCCTGGGGCACAGTGCAAAATATTCTACATCTTGAAACCAGACTGCCCCCTTACTAACTTTAAGCTCCCTATCCTGCTCATGTTAAAACACCAAACGAGACTAGCAGCCAATCTGGGATAAGCTGCTATGTGAAGTGTGCATGTTGACAGAATTTGACACTCAACAGTCCAGCAACTTGGACATGTCAGAAAGCTTTTTCAAAAGGAAAAAAAATCTAAATTGTCTAAGAAAAGATAAGTGCAAAACAAAACAATAATTTAAAACCAGTGACTCTGGAGTAGGATTAAAGCATACAGGCTCAACTAGCTGTTCTTCATGTCCCTTATACGAATATGATATAAGTGTGTTTTTGTGAGCTGTTCAATCCTGAAGAGCTGGAAATGATTCATGTGGAGCTAATATTATCCATTGCAAACTAATAGCAACAGGTTGATGTATAATAGCACTATGCTCTGTCAGCCTCCTGTGTTGCGCAGGAAGTGCCAGGGCTAATGCAACCGCAGATGAAAGATGAGGATAGCGGAATGGACAAGCGCCTGTCGCCTCGTGCTTGGATGTATCTAAACCACAGGGAGGCAGATACCTAGGTAGCTGGTTAAAAGGTCAGCCGGTCTTCCCCTGGCCTGTGGTCAGGCTTCTGCAGAGAGCAACACAGAGTACCTCCGGTCTTTTCTCCAGAGGTGGCTCCTTCTCTCTCTGCCAGCTGATGAGGACAATGTGCCAGCTAAAACGGCAAGCTCGGTTTTGGGTTTCATGGCGGGGGGAGGAGGGGGTTAAAAACCCATAATCCATTGCCACCAGCCTCTTTGGCAGGCTGTATGAGAGCAGACAACACGTCCCAGCACGGCCCTGAGAACACAAGTGTCTCCACCGTAAAGCCCACCACTGCAAGTCCCTCTGGGGCAGCCTGAGCGGGCTGTGCCTGAGACTCTCTCCACCTTGAAGACATATCTTTGGGCTGGGAGAGGAAGGGAAGGGGTCCAGCATGAGAAGGAAAAAAAATCTCACCCTACCAAAACACTCTGAATTTGGAAGGGAACTTCACTTTGCAGCTCTGCCTCCTAGCTCTTGCACAAACATTGAAAGCACTTGAAAAATCAAAGGGAAACCAGGGAAGTCACCAGTCATAGCAAAAATGCTGTGACATTTGCATGAGGGGGATACGCCAGAGCCAGCCTAGGACCACCTCGGGCCTTAACTGCAAGCACAAGTTGTCTAGACCTCGGTCCCGTCCTACTGTATTTCCGTTAACCTTCAGTGAGAGGACAGTCACCTCTTGGGACCACCAGCTCAGCAAGCTGCTAGAGCTGCTGGAGTTGCTTTGGGAATAACACTGCTCATCACCAGCTAGCAGCACCACAGCCGACAGAAGCAGCAGAGCTGGGATCCTCCACTGCCTGGCCAGGGCAGGGAGCATAGCTGAGCTCCTGGCAGGACTGATGCTCCCCTGGGAGGTGCCCTTGTAACTGGCCAAATCCTCACCCCTCCATGGCAGCAAGGCTGGAGATTTTGCACTAATAAGGGTTTGGTTCAGGAACTGTTGCTCACCACTTCTGTGAGAGATCTCTTTCCAAATCACATGTGTGCTTGCTATTATTTTTGGCAGTGTCCTCCCCACCGGCCATTCCCCACCGGTGCTTCGCTCACTGCGGGACCAAGGTATTTCCCCCTCCTGCATCCCTGGTGCAGCAGGCAACTCCCTTTCTCTGCACCCCTGCCAAATCACTGCAGGTTGTGCTGCCCTACCGCTATTGCTCTCTCTGGAGCAGACTGCCATGTCTCAGACCGCTGCTCCCACCCGCAGGGATTTGGCTCAGTCTCTTGCAGAGAAACTGCACTTAAACATAGCAAGCTGGAGCCTGGAAGGGCAAGTGTTAACCCAGTATGGGCCCTGTATGGGCCACGGCCCATAGCTGTTTCACAGATCCAAAGAGCCGCTGCCGCTTCTCCCATCCCGCTCCCCAGCAGAGGGAAGGCAGTATGTGTGCATGCACAACCCACTCACAGCCTTGGTGTGTAACGCACACGCTTAAGTTTCTCCTGGCAAACAAGTGATTTGTGGATCACAGCAGTGGACACTCAAACATCTTTTTCTCAGCTGCCAGCAAGTAAGTGCCACTAGACCGTACGAGAGCCGTATGCCGTCACCAGAGAGAGTGCGCTCCACAAACACCAGCATTCTTGTTAATAGAAGAGAAGGCAAAATCCTTTAAGTCAGAGGAAGGACTGCAAGTGAAGTGGAGGTTCAGGGCCTTGATTTTACATCTTTTTGCTGGATGCTGCTTACAGCTGCAGCTTTCCCCAACGAGGGATCACGCAGACCTTCCTAAATTTGTGTGTCTTCCCTTAGAGCGGTGCCTCTGCATGGCACTGCCACCGCAGACGGGCCCCAGCACTGGGTGCTTGAGCACGAGGTGCTCCTTTATGCACGAAGGAAGGCTGGGCGTGTGTCTGAAATGGGAGCCTAGCGACTGCTCAGCGCAGGTGCCTTGCAGGATGGTGACAGCTGAGGACTCTCAGGTGCAGTCTGGGCTGCCAAAGTAGCTCTGCTTTGAGTAGCTTTCTCACCCCACCTGGTGAGACCTGCCTTCCAGCAAAGGCAGGCCGTGCTGCTTTGTACCTTATCTCTCCAACGAGCAATGTGCGTTAGGAGGAGCACACCAGTAACCAAGTGCTGGGGCAGTACCAGGTCAGAGCCCACCAGGTGTGATGGTCATTCCCTATTGACACTGAGGTAGCCCCTAGAGCGTGGGCTGGGTTATGCTCACCAGTGCACACGTGTGCAGCAGAAGGCCTCGCTTGCCCAGCCTCATCACATCCCATTGGAGACGAGACGGCAAGTCAATGCAATGAACAGCTTCCATGGGGATAGGGGAGAAGGGTGAGCGGACACAGGAAACACCTGGCTGGTGGTGGCACATCCCCAAGACCGCTCTGCAGTAGGTCTGCAAGCAGAAACAGCTTGGTAGTCTGTGGGGATTTTTCACTGTCCAATACAGGGCCTGAGTTAGATGGAGACAGATTTCCCCTCTGCCTACCTGCCTGCCTGAAACTTGCAGGAACTTAACGTCTTTGAAACTTCTGCACTGCGGTCAAGTATGGTTGAGTAGGCCCAAAGTTATGGGGAGTACTGATAGAGAGAAGGACAACACGACCACGCAAGCCTTATTTACTTAGGAAAATTAATAAAATAAACACAGATATATAAAAATCATCAAAAAAATTATCACTGCACTGCTTGGGCTCCTCAACACAGTGGATCTCAGCTGAAGTCTTCCTCTCTAACCACTAGGGAAAAATACTACAAATCAGCCATAACAGGCCGAAAAGATCCCTCTGAAAAGATCCCATGGGGACCTGCAGCTCTCTAGAATATGCAGCGTAGGACCAAAAGAAGACATATTTTCTTCAGCCCTATTAAATTCAGAGCACAAATTGATCAAGCAGCCTACCTGCCTCCATCCGTCTGTTTTCATACACCTCTGGGCTTTCCGGCATGGTGCTATACTGCTGGAAAGGCTGGTTGCTGAAGAGATTGTCGCACAAGAGGCTGCGGCAGAGCTTCTTCAGGAAGCGCAGGACATATCCAATGCTGTTCACCACCAGCAGGTTCAGGAGATGCTGCTTCCCCTCAAAGGAAGCTGAAACTGGAAAGCAAGCAAGAGCAATTCAATACCCAGGAAGGCATGGCAGGAGGAAGAACAGGATGGGTGTCTTCCGAGAGCAGGGAAAAAGATTTAACACAAGTATTTGTTTGCCTGTCTTAAAATATTTCATACAATTACCCCACCTGAAGCAGAAACAATTTGAAAGTGCTTAGGGAGCTGAGTTTGTGTGACCCAGATCACCTTCCCCCAGAAACGCTGAAAGATGCAGATTGGCACAGCCAGCAGTGCAAGGATTTCTGATACGTGCACCCAGCTGAAAACTGTGCTGTATGATGGGAAGAAAGCAATTACAATACCCTAGTCTAAGGAAGGGGAAAGAAAACGTTCTGCCAATGACAGGTGATTAGGCTGACTTCAGCAGTGCCCAAGGTGTTAAAAAAAACCTGGGAGACAAGAATGAAAGACGTGACTGTGAATGGAATAAAAGGCAGCAAGGTTTTACCTGAGAGAGGTCTGCCAGACTAATCCGGGATCTTTATTTGCTGAGATAATTGCATTTATAGGCAAGGAAAGGGTGATAGTTGCAGTTGTAATTCCTATGTGGAATTCAGTAAAGCATGAGAAATCTTTTGTTAAACTGGAAACGATTACATATGAAAGGTGGGTCAAGAAAGGAGAGCAGGTTCTGCCAGCAGGAGAGCCACAGTGTTGGAGAGGAGTGAGCAGTGGCAATCCCTGCTGGCCCCACGGCCAGGAGGATCCAAAAGGATGTTGTTGATGCTGTAAACTGCCAGGCATTGTCAATGGAGCAGCGGACTGGGATACTGCACAGAAAGGACTGGATGATCTCTTGAGCACTGGAATAGTAAAAATGATTTGAAATATAACAGTTTAAAGCACAAGGCTATGCATAATTACCGGAGGGGGGAGGCCTCCACAGGAACTGATGGAGGGAGAAAGACACACTCAGATGAGGCACCAGAATGGCATAGTGATGAAAAAGGCAAATGTATTTCTAGGCGGCATCAGACAAGGCATCACCGGGAGAGGCAAGGGAGTGTCACTTCCAGGATACACGGTCCGGGTGAAATCAGTTATGGAAGGGCGGGTGCCATTTTGGTACTTCATGCTCAAGAAAGGTGAATTCACACTTAAATAGGTGCACAGGCAGCTCACAGGAGTGTTTAGGGAACACCAAATTTCCCTTACAAGGTGGGGTATTGCAGCCATCAGGACCTGAGCCACTATCTTGGCTATATGGTGCCATGGGAAGACAATTGCACCCAGGACTTTCACTAACACGGCAGCGATCTTCACGATGCAGAGAGGATCTGAGAGAAATTATCTATTTCAGCATAACAAAATGAGGGACTGGACTCTATCAATACATCTAAGAGTAAAAACAAGGGTTGGAGCAGGGAAATTAAAACTCCTGGACAATGCAGGCAGTGACTACATTTAGCCACGAACTGGAAAGGGCATAGGTCCCAGCCATCAGAAGGGGCAACTGTGGCTGGACATATCCTCGTGCTCAGCCGTCAAACAGTTTGCAGAGAGGCCTACATGACAAGCTGCCTGCACTCCATCACCCAGAAGTTTTTTTTTTTTCCTGTCCTACTTCCTCCAGTCGTCATGAGTCTAAATTGCAACCTTAGCCCCATAATCTCTGGGATAGGTTCAGAGATTTCCTGCTGCCCTGAGTTGCCATAAGGGATTACGCTTCACATCCAGTCAGCCTGACACTAGCAGCGATAAGACCTAGCTGGGAGCTTTGCAAGTCGAACCGTGGAAAGAGGTGCTGCAACTGGAAAAGTCCATAACAAAATCTGTTTGTGCTGTTGCTGGGCTAGAAGGGAGCTGTAATTTCAGAGCCGTTCAGTGACCTAAGGTTTGTTCACCCCCTCTAAATATTTAGGGACTTCCTGGCTGATTAGAAGGCATGGGGGGTTTGGAGCAACATAGATTGGGTGCTTTTAATTCTGTTGCTGGAGGCCAAGCCAGCTCAGAGAAACTGAGACAACGGGGTCTGGCAGTCTTGGTGCACATCATGGTTCTCCTACTGACGATGAAAATCATATATGCAGCACAGAGAGAGGCAAAAATGAAGCCTTGTGGTGTACTGCACCAGTCACACATTCCTGTGAACAAATTTGGATTATTCTTAGAATATTTCTGATGTCTCTTAGGGAAGGCTCACCTGGGATTAGAAAGGATAAAAGGGAAACAAAGGGAAAGGAGGAAGCATCACTTATATGCTGCACAGCAAGCCAGAGCCTGGGTTCCCACCCAAGAGGGTCCCAATGGCACAGCAAAGCTCATGTGGTCCCTGCAGAACTGATTGGACTTGCAGTGCTGGGCTTCGTGTTCATGCCTGTCCGCAGCAGCTCATTGGAGAACCCGCATTCCCATCATCGTTTCGTTTCCACTGCATCCCCCGTGATAAAACAGTGCTGTGAAGCAAAGCTTTTGCTGTGATTAAAAGAAAAAAAAATTTGCATTCACTCTGAGAGCCCAGTCGGGGATCTCAGCACAAGACGCGGGAGACATGGGACGTGGGACGCTCCTCTTGGCACAGTGAGGACTGTCCCTCCAGGAGGATGAGAAGCTCCTGGGAAATTCCTTGTCCTTTGTCTCTCCTACTTCTGCTTCCCGTTTTTCCCTCCTGCCCACCCAAGATCTTCCTTCCTGGCAGGACTGCGAAAAATAGTGCCTGCTTTGAGCAAAAAGGGATGGCAAGAGGGCAGGCAAGCAGGCTGGGCTCAGCTTTGCTGCAGCTGGATAGGTGTGGCTTTGTCTGGCAGGAACAGATGGCACCAGCTGACACAGACAGGAGTGCCTGGGCGGTTGGACCTTGGTGCACTCCCGACGTTTGCGATATCCTACATGTTTGAGGGACGGGGTTGGGGGGAAGCAAACTAGCATAGAAAGAGAGGGGGGCCAGAGAAAAGCTTGAGAGCCGCAGCTCCAGGTCACCCAGACCTCCCGTCCTGCTGCCCCAGGGACCAAACCAAAAGCTCTGTGATGTGTTTGTGTAGTCCTGCTGCACGGGAAATTGCTGTAGGACTTTTGCAGTTCCTACAGCTGAGAGCAGATTTGGCTCATGAACTGCAGGCAGGGGGCATACGAGCTCAGCCCTGCGAGTTTTGCTTTAGAGCAATATGTGGCCTTCACGCAGACTTGTGATGCTGCTTATCATTATATAGCAGCATTAAAAACCCAGGCCACAGGGCTGACCGGAGCATTGTTTCGAAGAACAATAACTAGTGCAGGACTCTGGATCCAGCCATATTCCCGCCTTGAATCACCACTGCTCTTTACCAACGCAGTCTCAGCCCTCCCTTGACACCAGTGCAATGCCCTTAGCAGTTCATTTTACAGGGGTGTAAGCAACGTTCAAAGCTGGTTGCCACCCTGCTCCTGTGAACAGGATGGGCAGGACAGCCAGGATTAGCGATCAGGATAAGATTTCTAGCGCTTTCCGATTGGTCACAAACCCTTCACAAAAATGCTTTACCTGACACCATCTCGCCCCCGTAGCCCTGCTTGATGAGGGAGAAGACAGCCTTTTGCTGGAGCGCGCAGTCGATGCAAGCCTGGACAGCCTGCTGCAGGACCACTGAAGGTCTCTCGGGCCCAAAGTGCTCTGGGAGTTGCTGCACCTTTTTTCTGTCAAGGTACGGCCCCAAGTTAGCCTCTTTGTTGACATAAATGCAGACTGTGGACACAAAAGCCCGACAAAGTTATTACAAAGTGGCCTACAGAGCATTCCAGGCAATGCGAACTTTATACATTGCCATTTTTTTTCATGCGCTCTTTCATTCATTTAGGAATTGTTGCCATTCCCCTTGGCGCAGTCTGGCCATACTCTCTTGCAGGCTACCTCTATGCATGTGACTGAGGGCCAAAACAAATCCCCAGGGAGCACAGGGCAGCGGCTACCTGGGGGTGACCCTACAACAAACTGGTAAACTCTAGCCTGAGATTTTCGTTTCTATGTGGTTTTAGGCAGACTCTTTGAGCCCCGCTTTGAGAAGCAGCGCTCTGAGCTACACTATGGAAGACCGTGGTTGCTCGCTGCTTCCCTCCTTGGCAAAGCTGCAAGAGCTCCCCAAGAGCGAGCACCGCGGGGGACCGCCGCCGTGGCAAAAGCTCAGTCTGGGCAACAGCACGTTTAACCTCTGGGTGGTAGAGTTGCATGAAGGCAGTTTTGCTAATGCCTGGCTGCAAGAGCCAAAAAAACATCAGTGTTCTCATCTTGCTAGCACGAACTTATTTTAAGCTTGGCTGAGGCCAGCTCCATCTCAGAGGAAGGGGAGATAACGTAGCCGTAACTAAGGGTGACTAAGACAAAGCCTAAAGTCAGGCTAAAGTGAGACATATTACAATAGCTGGCTGAGTGCGCTAGAGCTGTCATCTCCCAGACAATATAACATTATCCTCTGACAGAAATCAGATATGTGACAAAAAACATCAAGCGGAGTGGAGGACATGATGACAGCTGTGTGAAGTTGGAAATAATTTACAGTTTGCATCCCCATAATGAAAATCTAGTACAAATGTCACAGCACACGCCGTTACCGCATCTCTTACTGAACAGCAGAAGGGGCTCAAGTGGTATATCCTGGGTAAATAGGAGTATAATAGCAATCATACTTATCATTACCTAGCACTTTACACCTTCAAAGTGCCAAACAAACGAAGGGATAAAATAACAGCTAAAATCAGCAGCAGCACGCATGAATTGTAGGGAGCTGTCAGGGTGCAGCTTTCCTGGCATAACACCATGCCAAAGTTCACCACATTTGCAGGATGTGGCTTCTGTCACAGCCCCCCGGATGGGCCGTGTCGTGGTCCTCCCCTCCCGAAACGGGGAGAGCTGCACCCCTGGGAAAGGCTGCATGGTTAACGTTTGCTGCGCGGTTTGCACTTTTTGAATGTAGAGGGATAAATGAGAACAGGATATATTACTATTGTCGCTACGTTTGGTATCATTTTGCTAACAGAGCAGCTGGAAAACTTCCCCTCTGTGCGTCTCAGTTAAGGAAAAATGGGATTTAGACGTTATTTTAGTGCTTAATATTATCAAATTCATTTCCGTATTGAAATTTCAGGGTAAACCAAATTTCTTGTGAATTATTTGCTGATTTTCTTCTCATTTACATCAGTTTAACCCCATTGACCTATGTCACTTCTGGTATACTTTTCCCTAAACGCAGTTTGAAAGGATCAGGTCTCCTGTTGCTACAAGTGATTGGATTTTACGTGCTGTTAACCCTGGCTACGGTCTGGCCTACATGGGTCCTCCACTCTTCTTTTCCCCCAAATGGTTAACAGATACTTCATGTTCACACCAGTGTTTATTCTGGCTGTTACAACACACTTTGCAGCACGAGTGTGAGGTGCGAAATGGTAGCATTCGTGCGATGTTGCTGTTCATAATTCAAGAGAAACGGATCTGGGGTCTCTCCTAAACTTGAGTCTATTCCAACACGCACAGTCAAAACACAGGGTCCTGCAGAAGAGCATCTCCGCTCTGTGTGCCTGGCATTCGGTCCAATTTGCAAACATCCCGTTTCCACGAGCTGTGCCTGTTCGGGAAAGCATGTATCTGCATATACCGTATACCCAGGTACCCGCTCACTCCTTTGCCAAGGAGCGCCTGGGCCTGCGTACCTGTGAGAGCTTGTGGGGCAGCTGAAGTGGGTATCGTCGCTGCGTCCTGAGGGATTGAACTAATATCAGGCTCCGGTGTGCTTCTCGGAGGAGAGATTGCTAACGGCGTCATCAGCACACGAGACTTCAGCTGCAAAAAACAAGCGGGTTGGGAAATGAGAATATACCCCAGGTATTTCAGTGCTGCTCCATGCACCTCACTCGCCACGAACTCCCACTCGTTAGCAATTTGCTCTTGTATCACTTTCTCCCAGGCCAGGCGTCTCCTTCCTGCTCGGTGGAGGGTAATGGGAGCTGAAGGCTGGCATTGATTCGCAGCAGCGAGCAACGCCCTAAGTTTCAGGAAGCAAATATTATGCCACCCTCTGGGTAGTTCTTTACACCTGAGCAAACTGGGTGTAAAACTCTAACAAATCAGAGCAGTGGCATTTTACAACCCATTTCATGCGGGTGTAAACAATTTTACAGGACTCAGAGCAGGGGGAAATTCTGGGTCTTTAAGTACACCATAATTTAGGGCCAAATTCTGCTCCCGGTTACAAAGGTGTAAATCTCATGCAAACTCAGTGGCACCAAGGGGCTACTTTGGGCTGCCACCTGCGTAAATAAGGAAAGGATTCAGCTCAGACCGTGGTCGATAACGTGTTATCACTAGGTAGTAAATACAAACTGCTGCGCTGTTACACCCAGTAATCCTAGCGACCTGCAGTTTGGGTTAGAAAAATCAAACACAGTGAGAATTTACTGTCCGATACTACTATGTCTTTACACTGCCAATATCTGGCCATGTCTCACCAGTAAATGATGTTCCGTTCCTCATAATTATGAAAGGCTGACATGATGAACGTGACCTGAAAGTATTACCCTCATTTTTCCTTTTGCTACAAAAGGAGGTGAGGGGAAAGCAGAGTCAGGCACACAAGTGAATATTTTATATATTTATATATTCCACGTCAAGCTGTTCTGCTGGCAGGTGATATTTTTGTTGTTGTTTTTCAGTGACCGAAGGTAAAATGCTGCAAGTGACAAAGCTAAGAATGCAAATGAATTTTTAGGCCTGCTAAACTTAAAAAGAGCATTGCTTCTCTCAGAAGCAAGAGCAAGATCCACCCAGGCTGGAAATAATGTAGAAAGTATATTTTAGGCAGAAATGAAGCTAGACCACCAGCTACAAACCCAAACCTTGAGCAAGTCCTGGCGGAGAGTAGAGGTAATTTTGGATAAAGATTTATGTTGTCCAATGATTTATGGTTATACTTAAAATAATTGTGACTCTGTTTCAGTCTAACAGTGAAATTTGGAAGCTGAAGAAAGGGAGAGGCTGTTGGATTTTGCACCATACGTATTTCTACAAGAGTTTTTTTTTATCATTAAATTTGGGGGAGTTTGGATAATTCCCCCGATACCGGCTTATTCCAGCAACGGTTCAATGGGAGAGAATTCAGGGTTTCTCTTGCTTTCAGTAGCATAATAGCCTGTGCTGGGACGTTACCCCTCAAAACAAACAAACAAACAGAAATGCCCTCTTTGTTGAGGCAGATGTGATTTTTACCTGCTAGATCTCCCCCAAGCCCTCCTCAAACTTGCAGCTCTACACGGCAGCTGCAACCTAGGGTATTCCCAAAGGAGCATCTGCTGAGCGGTCAGTACAGTGTACCCCAATGGAAATAAAAGCTGGTCTCCTTGCCCAGGCACCGACCCCTGTAGGACCCTGCTAGCTGTCGGGGGCAGGCTACTTCCAAACTGTCTTAGAAGTGCCAGGCTTGCTGGTACAGGTCAAAAAGACTCCACATACTGTTTATTCAAACCCAACATGAAGACGTTCAGCAAAAGTCTCTACATTTGGTACTATAAGTAAGTGTCTTTTGGTATCAAACCAGGATGATAAGCAGGACACACAAAGGCAACGTGGGCTTCAAGGCACGTTTCCACCACCGCCGTGCAGGTCTCCAAAGCAAAGGCCCCGAGAGAGCCCCTACAAATTCTCAGTGGGAGTCTGGCAAAATTATCTTAAACTGGCTTTGCTGTTTTTCCGTCTCTTTGCAGTCGGCTCCAGGTGGTCTGCCTGGGGCAGGCTGTGGCTAAGAGGATGCCCACCACTTTCTGCCTCTCCCATCGAATCGGTCCAGCCGCCTCGGGCCCCTCCAGCCCTGCCAGGAGTTGGGAGCTCGGGCTGAGGTGACTCCCAGGCACAGGATCTGATTCCCCTGGGAAATGGAAAGGGATTCAGGATAGCTTCTCCTTTGCTGAGCAGGGTGTATGCACACTGCCTCCCTTTCCCTGCCACTGAAGGCGAAATTTCTTTGGCTGGGGCTAAAAGCCTGAAAGGGAGCAAACTTTTAAGAGGTGTACCTGAGATAAGCAATAGATTTTACCTCCCTAATGGGTGCAAGAAATAAGGTGGGTGCAATGGTCCCCAAATTGTTAAGGTTTATGGTGCGGAATGGTGCAGGACTGAAATACTGTGTACCAGCATTTGGGGAAGTAGCTCAACCTGTTTACTTATTCAGAAGGTAGTTGTGATGCTAGTATGTCCTGTTCGCTCCTACTCAGGATACTCCATGCTGAGGCAAGTAAGATGCAGAAGCTTAAGGGGTCCAAATCAGGGAAAGGCAAGAGGGGACTGAATATGCTTAAACTTAATAATTGGCTTCAATACTTTGCCAAGCCCAGGGTGAACCATTCAATCCATTACTGAATTATGCCCAGTTTGTTTTCTCAAAGATAGCCAGTGATACAGAGCTCTGCAGGTTAAATGTTCATGGCTATTAAAAATTCCTCTTTTGCATGGAGCATTTTTTTAAAAATAATTGCTTTTGGATCAGCTGTAGCATCACACTAGAGATGTAGCACCTGCCAGTGCAAAGTTAAGCCCAGCAAAGGCCGAGGGGACCGAGGTAGGCGAGGTGATGCCCACACACGTGGGCACAGGGCTTCTGCTCAGGGGGTTGTGCTGGGATTCATCCCCATGAATGAGCAGGGACACCCAAAATAACATGGCCATGCTCAGGCTGACCAGCTGCACAGCAGCTGCAGCCAGAAGGTGCACGGCTCTGTGAAAACGTATATGCTTAGGCATAGGGTTGCAACGTGGCAGCCATACGGGACTAGAGACCCTGAGCTGATCCTTGGCTGACAGCAGTTCAACCTGCCCGTGCTGCCATGGCCTTAGAGAGCTACCTTGTCTTCAGATTGGGGTCGGGACAGACCAGAGGCAGAGAGGTGGTGCTGGTTTGCTTTTTAAGCGATTAAAGTAAGTGAGAGGAAAAAGGTGTCTCAAAAATCAAGGCCTGAATCCAGTTTGGGGTTTATCACATGTGAGAAGGTGAGAGGCAGCACGATATGTTTTTGTCTGTAGCAACATGCAATGACTCATTTTTCCATGGGGAAGTGGGCTGACACTATGAAACTCTGAGTAGCCCTTATGCTAGGCTTCTGGGCTCACTTTTGCTCACACACACATATACATACATATATAATATATACATATATACACACATGTATTTATACATAATATATACATGTATGTGCATCTATGTATGTGTATATATTATATAAAAAACCATCTACGTTTGGCCAAGGGGAAGTGCAGGTTTGACAGCATCCCCCAGACTGCCTGCTTTCTTCCGCTTCTTGGTTCTTGGAGGCATAGTCAGGCTTATGCTCAAGAGCAAATAAACACAGGGCAAGGCTTGTATAAACTCATCAGCTTGGAAGCCCCTTCTTGGCAGTTTGCTGTTTCAATGAACAGTTTACTGCAAATTTAATTGCAACAGTATGTGCTCTACAGCCTCTGGATACAGTTAAATGCCATTTTTATTAGGGTTAGCAGAGAATATTCCTTTGTTAGAACAAAATAAAACAATGCCTGATTACAGAAGACAGTACCGTAACAAACACTGCTAAAATAACTTCTGGACACTGAAACTCTGAGCGGTTGTTGAGTATCACTAGGCGCAAATCTCCAAGTATTTAATTTAAAGATGTCTTTTCTTGAACTGCTTTATCTCTATCAGAAAGTCAAGCCAGTCAACCAGCTGACTGACTGAGAGCTTGGCAACAGAGAGCACATTCGCAGAAAAGTGAAAAAAGCAGGGAAGATAGATAGAGAGAGAGAGAGGGAGAGAGAGAGAGAAAGAAGGAGTCAGAGCAAATCTGTCAGCGTACTATGGGGCACCCTCGCAGTACGGCATTCAAATCAGCTTTTGAAGGTCAAATGTCATCAGGTTTTCATGCACGTAGCATCAAAAAAAGGCGATGGTTGGTTTAAGACAAGATGTGCACCCACCCCCCCGAGTCTTGTGGACCTTCTACCATGGAAAATAGATCAGAGAATGCTGATTGGGGATCTAGGGAAGAAAATAAGTGTGCCTACTTCAGTACAGGCCCAGCACATTAGATGCAGAGAGGACTTGGGCTGATGTGTCCTTGCTGCTGCCTGGATGCCCTATTCCAGTAGGCAGCTGCTGCAGATGGGGAAGGTACCTCCAAACTCATGTGGGGGCTTCTGCTATGATTCGCACCCCCTTACTGAGGAGCCAGGAAAAATCTAGCTGATATTTCTATCATCCCACACTGAAAAAAAGTGAAAGAGGAGGAAGAATATTCTCAAAACAGCTTTTTTTCTCTGAACAAGTTCTCTGTCAGCTTGTAGAACAATGTCCCTTGTCATGACAAAAAGTCATGAAAAAGCTGGGGTTCCCCCTATCCCCATGGGCTTGCATCCTTCTAGGTAGGAGGGCAGAGGTGCATTCAGGCCATGCTAGCTTTCACTGTTGGACAGAAAACCCCCTCCCGCCACCTCAGCTGTGAATGGAAACACATAGATATGAAAATCTGGGCCAGGCTGGTACTGCCATGCAGGGTTTCAACAGCTGAGCAGAAAGGTAGCACTAAACCTCATTGCATTATACCTGCACCTAGAGAAGTGCAGAGATTTCTTGCCATTTACTTGATTGAGGCCGGAAGAACTTGGTCAGCACCAAGCCCTAGCTATTTGGGATGAGCAGTTATCACAGGATGGGAGTCTTGGGGGAAATCTTTCCAGAAAAGATCAATACCACGATGTAAAATGTTCCAGATTTGCAACCAGGCCCATGAGGTGGCAGCTGGTGCACAACTGCAGCCTCCCCACAGGCTGTGGGGCCCATGCACCGGGTCTGGTCAAGGACTCAACTTCATACCTTTCCCTGGAGGATGGGGGCCACCACTAGCCTGGGGGTACAGCGAAGGTCTTCATCAGAAGGGAGTTGAAACGAGCACTGCAGAGCTCCAGAGCACCTTCTTGCCAGAAAGGGTCTGTTTTCCCTTTAGATCAAGCACCAAAGATTACAGAGGTCTTGGCAACTTCAGACTGCCCCGCTTTGCACCTTCCTATTATGGCCATCTTTATGACGAATCTTCAGTCTGGTAATTTCCAGTCGCCTCTCCCGTCTCCTGGATCCCGGCCTCGTTCTTTCAGGGAATTTGCTGATCTCTCCTGTGCCCACCCGTGCAGTCCCGTACAGGGCAAGCTTGACTCCTCACCCAACCCAGTAGGGAGCTTGCAAGGTCCCAGTTGTCCATTCAGCCCAGGCTGGACAGACATCTCGCCAGACAGATGCTCTTGTCATGATACGGGAGTAGCCCCAGTAGGCAAATTGCCCTCGGGCTGCTCTGATGGGGCCATAATTTAGCTGCACCTCAGGACTGTGCCACAGGGAGGAATGTGGTCCGCTTCGTTGCGGCGCCGGCCCCACCAGCTCTGCCCCACAGGTGTCTCTGTCACTGTGACCTCCTCTAATGCAGCTAATTCTTCCAATGCTGCTAACAGAGCCCTAGTACTATACAAAACCGAGCGCAGACTTCGCTCGTACAGCTGCAGCACTTTTCCACAGCAGTTCCCGGGTGCCAGGTCTTGCCCGGCAGCCATAAGGAGCTGCCCCTTATCTACAGCCGGAGAAATAAAACCAATCCATCTATTAACCCTTCCTGAGCTGCCCGAACAGATATGTTCCTAAGGAGATTTAGACGGTCAGAAAGAATGCTGTATGTAAGGCAAATGTAGGATTTTACGGCAAATAGCTCTACATCAAATGTAAAACATTTTTTTGGAAAAGCAGCTGATGAAATTTTATAACCAGAGCTGTAAACAGGATAGCCGGGAAAAGGTCTTTACTCGGGTGTGAGGCATGGTGAAATGCCATTTGTTGATGAGCACCTTAGGAAGACACAGATATTTGCTTTTAATATCAATGAAAACAGGCAATGGGTCATCTGGCTGTACAGAGCATGTGATTAAAAATGTCTGTTATATACATCTCGGTCAAAATAATTTTAAATCTAGGCTGTAAATTCCTAGTTTGCTAAAAATTCAGAAGTATTTTTCCATCTGTTCTGTAATAATTCAGCTATCTGGTTGCTATAAAGAATTTGGTTGTCTGCCACTTGGGTGTGGAGTCATTTTTTAAAACACATTTAAGTCTCATGGTATCTGAAAGTCATACAATTAGTGAGCTAATTAAATCAAGCTACAGTTAGCCATCAAAAAATGCAATCTTTGACTCATGCTCAGAAATTGTTTTTTATGGAGAGTGGTTCACTTCAGCTGAGTGCACCATGCACAAAGACTCCTAGTGGAAAATGTTGCCACAGTGTAGAAATGCTATAATGCAAATAAATAGCACGAGGCCTGATGTCTCAGATGTTACAGATCATGAGTGTCAGGTTCAGAAACTTAAGCCATCATTTATGAAAGGATGTCTTTTTTTCTAGCTTTCACTCACCAAGAAATAGCACCATGCCACTGAGGATGCCATTCACACATGCAGGAGGCCGGAATTTACAATCTTAGAGCAGACTCCATCAATAATGAGTGACACCGACTCCCTCCGCTCTCCCCCTTCCCCTCGCATTGCCGCTGAGCACAGTGCCACCGCAGCCCGCAAACGGGGCCCCGCTCCTGCAAGGATGCAATGGTGCCGAGGCGCCGGGCGGCAGGTCCTGACACCACGTCAGGTTTGCAGAGCCAGCAGCAATACGATGATTTACACTGGGCAAACATCTCGGCCGGGAAGACCGACCACCTGCTCCCGGAGAGTGCCAAGCACTGCAGCCACGGGAAACACGCTATCGCCTCCTTGCTAAATCTCTGCAGCCCCAGAGCAGAAATCGGTGCAGGCCCTGGCATCTGTAAGCTGGTGGGGACCGAGCGCTGGGCTTCTGCTGCCCTCTGGGTGCTGGAGATATGCCTGGACACATATTAATGAATGAATTAATTAAAGTCTAAAGGATATGAATGATTTGGACCACCGACTTCCCAATCCTGTTCACTGAAGACAGGCAGACTTGGTCTGTGACGTTGGGTGCACGTGAGTGTTGCAAAAAACAATTCTCCTTGAAAGAGGAAGGGGGCGATGGAAATCACAGCTGCTTGGGCTGCCGACATTTTCCAAGTCCAAAGTGCAATGTTACTGCAGCGCTTTAACAAATTTAACTGTCCCTGTTGGCTTCTCCAGTGTACAAATAACATGATGTTTGGTGAAAGGCTTTTTCACAGGTGGGTGAGCGCATCTGAGGTGGAACAGAATGAATTCCCAGAAATGTTTTTCAAATTACAGATGAAATGTAAATGCAGGAATAAGAAATGGGGGGCAGCCAGACAAGCAGGGGCGGAAGGGCCAGGGTCTGCTGAAACTCTACACGCAAGCTCATTGTGATATTTGGCAAATCACTTAATTGTCTCAGGGACTCACTTTCACCACATCTCCAAAGTATTTTTATGCCAGGCTTGGAAAGCATTTGGACAGTTTTGATCTAGAGATCCTGCAAGTCACCCAGCACTCCTGGTAATAGTTTAAATTACTGCTAAAGAAAAGGAACTAAAGTAAAACTTTATAGATGTTCCTGCTCCGGAGTTTTAATCTAATACTAAAGTGAAAAATAGTTTCTTAGTAAGTAGTTCCATATCCCATGTTTTATAAAATACTGGAATAATTGCCCCCAGTCTTAGCCTGGGCATGCAGTCCTATTTTGGACTACTGCTATAAATCTTTGCAGGAATCCCATGAGAGACATCTGAGCCTTCTGTCAGATTGGCTCTGCTTGGCCACTGCTGTTATATCATTCATGTTACCAAAGCTAAAGTTTTTTAGAAGTCTTTAGAAGTCTTTTTCAGAAGAAATGGGAAACTACTGCTGGAACCGTTCCTTAGCCATGCAAGATCTGCTTTCAGCACGTGCAGAGCTCTAGGCAGACACTTCCACCATGCATGGCAGAGAGTGAGAAGAGCGAAGGTGGAGGATGGGAGGAAGAAGAAGGTCTGGCAGGGGATGAGAAGGAGGGACAGGCAAAGAGAAGAATAACGAGCTGCAGGTAAAGCCAAGACCCGATGAGATGAGAAATTCGGTCCCTGTGTCCGGAGCTCAGCAGGCAGCACTGAGCACAGCACCTTGCTCTCTCCCATGGCCTGGCTATCTCAGGAAAGGGTAAGGCCCTCCTACAGCCAAGGGATGGGCTGGTTATTCCCTGCCAGCATGTCTATGAGTATGGTTTCAGAGAACAAAATATGGAGATGAGGAGCAGCAGGACTTAGGGTGTTGAAATTTGCTGTTGGTAAGGCCGAGTACCGGGGGACAAAGTGCAGATTTTAGCAATATGCAGGGTCGAGTTAATTTTTAAGGAAGGCTGGGGAAGGCCCTATACAGGCACCATTTGTGCTATTTGTACTTCTGTTTAGGCGCTGGGAACTCAAGAGGTTGTTGTTTTCTAGCACTTGGCAATTTGCCATCTTTGGGAAACAGACTGCATATCTGTAACTGCTCCCATTAAAAACAAAGACTATGAATAACAAACATGTACTATAACAAACTATTACCTACCTAGCTGCAGAAATAGACGGAGAGAATAACAAAGCGTTTTAGTCACAATGAAGCGCCTCATTTTCACTCTCCAGAATAAATTCCCCTCCTCCCAGCAGCACGATCACCTTTTTTGCCTGGTCTGAGGAGCAATGACAGCCTGTGCTGTGCCCTGGCTTGTGTCTTCCACAGCCTCACATGAGCTGGAGCTGAGTTTGGCCTCTTATCTTGACAATGAAAGCTAAGGATGACATTTTCCTTGCTAAGAAACTTGTTCCAGTTCACTGCTGGTGATAGCGTTTAAATCTACACTCCTGGCCCAGATTAAATGAGGTTTGTGGTCTTTGTCCAACTTCTGCTGGGCAAATATCCCCGTGACACTGATGTACCGTCACAGCCAGAAGCACTGTCAGCTCTTTCAAGGGCATGGAGCAAACTGTCCTCCGACCCTCAGAGCAGGTCCTCTCCAAGGAGAAGTGGGGTTGGGAGACGCCGGCCCTGCTCCCGCCTGCGCTGAGGTTGCCTTGTGGGCAGAGAGCTCCAGCCCCCCGCCTGCACTACACAGGCTGGCACTAGGATCATGGTTTATTTATTTCGTCAGTCCTGCTTCCCCACCTGGGTATTATGGAGAGCTGGTTGCAATTTTCCATCAAAGTTATCAGACAAATAATTAAAATAGCCTTTCCTTTAGTAACAGAATTCTCAGTACTTTCTAAAATGTCTCACTTTTTCTATGAAAATTGGCTTTATTTTCTCCTTTCTTTTCCCCATTTCCCTCTTTGTCCTTTTCTTTTCCTTCCATTTTGTTCCATTTCTCATCCTTTCTAGCGAGACAGAATAAAAAAAAAGGGGGAAGTGAAAAATCAAAGGGAAACGCTTCCCAGAACATGTGCAGACATCTCACAAAACCCAATGAGAGATGATTTATTTTCAAACAGCTCAAATTAAAATAATTTTAATGTTTGTTTTTAATATTTATTTTTTCATCAGCTTAAATAGAAGAGGAACTAGTTTCTTTTCCTTTTGCTGCCCTACGCTTTCGTAACTTTGTCTCAATTCTTGCGTTTCATCTGAAATCCTAGGACAAAATTCATTAAGCGCAACAGGAGATGGAGCAGGTGTGTAAAAATATATCTACCTTGTACCCGGGCTTTCTCCCTCTCTTCTTTGGGATCTTCACTCCTGGCAAAGAGCCAGCTGGCGCTGAGTAAAGGTTGTGAACAGCCATTTTCATGGGAGCAGGCTGGAGCGGGGGCCGTCCTCGTTTCCTCCCTGGTATTCTGGGAGACTGCATGTCAACGGGGTCCAGCCTCGGCGGCAGGGATGACAAGTGACTCATCTGTGCAGGTGCTACAAATCAACCACAAAACAGGGGAAGAAAGAGCTTTTTTTTGAGTTTTTTTTGTGTTTTGTTTTTTTAATCTGAAGGCAAAGCAACACAAGCCTTTTTTCAAGTTAGTGTTTTCTCTTTTGCTTTCTATCATAAAGCAGCAGCGAATGTGCTGTAGGCACACACTTCTGGGGGTGATCCACCTGACCACATTCAGCTCAGCTTCTCCAAAGCAGGACAAAAGCTAGTCATGGCCATTTCTCTCTGCTGACGGCAAAAACAGTACAGGGAAGTAGCTCGCATGGAAGGATCTCTACTGCAGATGTCTACTAGGTGAATCCCATAGCTGCCGTCTTAGTCCTGCATCCAGCAGGTAGGAACAATGAAGGCACAATCTGGTCCTGATCAGAATCAGTGGGAACCTTCCCATCACCTTTAGCTAGCGCTTCTGTGTCTCCAGTGCGTGCTTATTTTCCCATCTCCAAAGAACTGATGAACAACCCGAACGATCACCGAGCCACCTGGTCTGAATTCAATGTTTCGACCCTGCTTTGAGGGGGCTGGAGGAGATAACCCGTTGCGGTCCCTCCAGGCCTGAATTATTCTAGGATTCGGCGATTCTGCAATCGTGGGTCTGATCCTGCAACCCTTCCTCACCTTGGAAGCGCTACTGATACCAAAATGGACTTCCCTCCCTTTCCTAGGCCTCTCTCCTGAGCTGGGGGCACCACAGGGCCACAAGGCTGCCTGCACAAGGGGAGCCGCGTTAGAGGAGAACGGCCAATAACACTCGCTCTCTGCAATTTTTATAGCATCTGTTCCCATGCGTGTTAGTGGTGGGCTTTTGGATGTATTCCATCAAGAGCTGTTGTTTCATCACAGCTCCGTGCAGCTGATGAAGTCGAGCAGGGGTAATGGAGTGGAAGCTGGTCCATTTTCTTCTGTCCAAGTTTTAATAAAGAAAACAAATATACAAACACATACAGAGTATCAAGGGAATATACAGCATTCTTCATGGCTTCTGGCAAAGGGCACATGCTAACAAAGGAAAAAATGAAAAACGCGGATGTTTTCAAATGTTGGTTTGTCCGGGCATCTGCTTACCTGACTGTGGACAGAAGAACAGTCCCAGCCCCAGTATGCATGCATTGCTAAACGCAAAGGTATTACCAGTTCTCATGCTTTTATGATAAGCCTTGCAACAACTGACGTTTTCAATTTCATGCTCCCTCAGGCCAGTGATAACGGAGGGTTCCTCGCTCTTCGTTTTTACAGAGCAGGTTTCCAGCCCTCTTGGTTACAGAGAAAAACCTTTAGAGGTGAGCCCAGAGCATCTGTGAAGCTCAAAAAGCAGAAGGCAAGTAAAGGTTTATTTATTACTACAAAAAAATTACAAATGTTTACAACATCTACAAATTGCAAAATCTTCAAATTTATTACTACATTTTCAAATCTCATAATTTCAGAACCCAGTATGATCGGACTGATCAGCATTGACATTGCTGGTAATGAAAATACTATTGTGCTCCCGCTTACTGTGAAGGGAAACTGCCTGATAGGGGGCCTCCGCCTGATGAAAAGTATCTGCAGCTGGGGGGTCTCTGTGCCTCAGAGGCAAACATGCTGTGCCTAGGCAAAACTTTGCAAGCGTGACAGGCTGATGAGTGACTCATTTCTCCAGTCTTATCCCTTCAGTAGCATCTACAGTCTGTTGGCGAATAAGAAAACTAAAGTGCTCCTAGCCCTACCCTCCAGTAAATGCATGTATTTACACCATGTTAAAAACTGATCTTTTAATATCATTAGAGATATCTGCTCAGCTCACACAGATTCATTACATACGGCAGGAGTTATAAATTGACTTTAAAGTGTCTGGTCTTTAACATCGGCTTCCTAAAACACTCGTGCAAACGCCGAACGTCTAACATCAGATTGGAGCAAGTGCCATATGATAAATCTGCAGCACCTGATTTACCAGCGTGCCCGGGGATGTGGTGGTTAGGCTGCCTCGATGGACTCAGCCAGCTCAGCAACAACGTGAAAGCTTGCCACGTGGGTTTGATTTCTACCAAAGTAAAAGTCTCATGCATGTGTGGAGATGACACTTTTAGGGTGAAAAGCAGCAGGCTTAACACAGCAGGAGTCAAATGGAAAGGCTTTGCATGTCCTGAGCATCGTGGCTTCCCTTCTCTTGAGTGGTGTGTATTTTCCTCTCTGTACCGCTTTCTGAGGGATGGCTGCTATGCCTCCTCCACCTCCCAAAACCAAAATCCTTTGGAGGGTTACCAGCTGGCTGTGGGCAGGGAGCTCAGCTGGGAAGCACAAGGATTGCACTGGATTTGATGCAAAAAAAAAAAAAGCCAGTGCCAGGAGCGCGACTTTTCATTTTGGTTTCCTTTAAAGCAAGTCTGGTAACATGAGCTTTTGCAGAGGAGCTTCACAGAGACCAAGGAAGGCAAAACCAAGGAAGGTTGCTCCTCCTAATGTGGCACATTTTGGTGCCAATGGGACCATAAGTGACGCCCTTCAGGTCTCACGAAAGAGTCGAGAAGTCCCCAAGCAGCAATACCTGCTCCCTGAAGGACAGATCAGGCCATGCAGTTGTGCTTGCAGGTGCACCCTGGCCCGCACAGTTTGCCAGTTCCCTCCAGTGCTCCCTGCTTCTGGAAACGGCAGGAAACCTTTGAGCTCACAGGCACGGTTTCATTGCTAAAGCACAGGTGCCTGCTGGCGTTAAGGTGCCTAGCACACCTTGCTCGGCCTCCAGCTGCTGTTTGAGAAGGGCACAGCTCCCCTGTCAGTCCCTCTGCCAAACCCGCCTGCCCTGTGCAGGCACCTTGCGTCCCCTGTGCTGCTTTCACAGCACCAGACATTTACGTTTACAGAGCCGAATCCGTCCTGGTACACCTCCTGCTTTGGAGGTGTATTGGAGGTGTATTTGGAGGTATTCCTTATATATAGTCTCTGCTGTGTGAGCTCAGACAATGCCAGCGTGATCCTACATCCCGCGCTACAGGGGTTTGGGTTTTCCCTGAATAAAGGTTTGGACAAAAAGAAGTGGTTCCCAAACTGGTCGCTGGCTGGGGGCTGTGACCCACTGCTGGGACTTAGGAGCTGCAGGGGACCACTCAGCAGGGATTACCTCCCTGCCAGATGGGGACAGGAGCAGGGCACCAGCCCCCTTGGTTTCTCAAGAGTCAATTCTGCGTTTTCCTTTGCACACAGATCACAAGGACTGTCGGTGAGCGTGCTTGTTTCCTGGGCTGGGTTTTTAGGGGATATTATTCCCTTTGGGCCAGCCAGGAACAGATCATGTACAAACTCACCTCCTATCTAGGTGGTGGGGGAACGTGGGGAGGTGGCTGCATGGCTGGGTTTCACAGCGAGGCTTGGTAAGCAGTGCCGTGTCAGTGCACCATGATCAGTGAATAGCATGGATGGGACTCCTGGCCCAAAGCCATGGTGGGACAAGGACATAGTTCAAAAAAGTAGCGTTTCCTCTCCTCTGACAGAATAGCTGTACCCCATAGAGGGGTGGGGGATTTGCGGAAATGTGTCTTGCTTCTCAGTAACATGAACCAGCAGCATGTCAGTGGCTGAGCCAAGAACCAAAGACGAATGGTGGTAACGCTTAGGCAGAGGGCTAGTAGCTAACAGCTGAGCGGTGGCAACCTCTGAGGCACTTGACTAATGCCACAAGGGCTGTGTGACTGCACCTCAGCAAAGCCAAAGTGTTGCCCCAGCAAGGCTTCCCAAGTGCCAGAGGCAGCTGGGGTTGCTCTGACCTCTGATAAACCCACAGCGCGACTTCTGGAAAGCTTGGTGGCTTCCAGGCAAATTTAGAGAATCTGATACCATTTAGAGATGAAATCAAGGAAGACAAATCACAGGCTACTAACAAAGACACCACCTTCAGTTCAGGAAGACACTGTGGTACAAATAGGCTGGGAAAGAAGGTGAAGTCCCTATATTCTTGCTCTATTTTTATTTTCTTCCTGAGGCATTAGCTTTGGATGGTTCCCAGAGACAGGATCCTGGGCACGTTGACCCTTCAGCCTAACCCGGTCAGAGTCTATCACTTTTGTATTCTTAGTTTAAAAATAACAGCAGGAAACTGCCAGAGGTTTATGGTTTCTTTTCACTTAATGTAGGACTAGAGGTAGAGTAACTTTTCCTTACTTGTCTTTTAGACACTACAATCTGACAATTGCATTTGTAGCCCTACCTTCCACGTTCCCCTATTAGATCCCAGGCAGGTGGTAGTAGAAAAACACCTCTCCCCACTCTGCCACCCGGGCAAGCACTGCACAAAGGGTAAGATCTTACCCACTCTGGGCAGCCGAAGTCCTGCTGGTGCCTGCAGAGGAGCCAGAAGAGCCTGTGTGCCTCTGCTGATCTCCACTGGTGGAAGGTAAGCACGGAGAGAAAAACAGGCCTTAGACCAGCACTGATGGAGGTTTCTAACAGCACGTGCTTTGCACTGTACTTGCCTTGCATCATGTGTTAGTATGTATACTGTATGACTAACCACAACTTACTGTACTGGCAACCGTACCTGATAGCTGAGAGATCTACAGCGCATCTCCTCTTAAGCTGAGTATGTTTGATGGACTGCAAAGACACTTTCTTAATAAAAATAAAAGCCTGCAATAAATGCAGCTTTTAATCTGTGCTCTAGTAACTGCAAGGGCAGAAGGTAAAAATACCACATTAAATTTTATATCGGTAATTCCCGAGGATGATCATTTAAACCTGGTGTACACCAGATCTCACACAGACCTGTGCCTGGATTGGCACAGAGATGATTCTGGCTCAGGGAAGAAACAAGCTCTTTGTGCCTTAAGCTAAAGCAAGCTGCAAAGGTATGGTCAAGTAGAAAATACGCCATGTCACAGCAGCTGAAGGAGAATTCCCTATGCTCCCAGTACAGTTGCTGCTCCCTGCTGCAAAAGGCTCTGACTCAGGAGTCCCCAAGTCTCAGCTGAGCATGGCAGGAAGCTGTGTGCAGAAGTCTTCTTCA